CGATACCTTCTATCGACGGGAAAGACGGAATGGGAGAGTATGGAGAGGTATATTGATGGTCTGTAAGAATTGAAGCCAAACTGACTGTTTTGGCCTGACCTCCTCAACCGTCCTGGGCCCAGTCACTGCCACCGTGATCACCCGTCGTTCCACCCAACTGATTGCAGTACCATCTATGTGCACCATTGCGTATTTTTATTACTACAAAACGGCCGGCGGCGATTGAGCCATCCTACTGAGAATACCCGCCTTTGCGCCTGGTATTCTGTGCCCAATAATGCCCAATTCCTATCATACAAGGTTCGGTCCCTTCTTCCACCGTAGCAACAAGACGAAAAACCTTGTTCTGCCCCTCGTCTATCCCTGGCGCTGCTTGTGTCTCGGGTTTGCTGAGCAGATGATATAACGGTAGCCCACATGCCTCTTGCCGGCTTTCCGTCGGACGACCTAGTATTGGGATGCAAAAGTCAGCCAAGAGTTATATATCATTTGGCAGGTACTCCCAACTAACCTTGCAATGCTCGCACCGCTTTTTTATAGAGCTGTGCACCTTCATGCCCCGGGTTTGCTGATTCTGGAAGACAGCGCCGCTCCTCGGCGCGGCTACTCCGGTTGTTTGGCTCGACTTTGCGCTCAGCGTGGGCCGGCAGCACGGCCGCTGGCACCCAGACGGGTGAAGGGCGCTCTGCGAGAGACACCGTACTTGTTTCTGTGATGAAGACGTAGACGAGGGGAGGACGGAGCGAGCGAGCGAGAGGGCCCGCATTGACGAGGCAAGTGACTTTGTCGCTAATACGCTCGACCGCGCGGTCTGGGAGAGGATCGAAAAGCTCGCCATTTTGCTGGCCCAGAGATTGAGGAAGCCGGGCTGGCGGTCAAAAAGGAGTGATTCCGTCGGGTCGGGGTTGAATATGATCGTGATCGTGGCCCTCGAGGTTTTGGTTCAAGCTCGACTTATCCAATTGGAGGTCCTGAACGAGCTCTCCGGGTCACGTGTCTCCGCCTTTCCTGAAGATCTGGGAGAACCCTAACCCTAACATGTTCTCCCGAAGAGCCGGGCCGTTCTCAGCTGGTTCATTTCAGTAGTTGTATTCAGCAGTCTTCTGGTTGGACTTTCCATGTTCATCGTTCTTAACATGACGAATACATAAATAAGCCTGTGACAGTCCACCCGTCCGGGTTGGCGATCCGGACGGAGTTGGGGACCTGCGCCACGTACTACCACTATCTCATCTGCTTGGATTAGGTAATGCTCGACGACACGACGTTCAATTGCTCTTTGATCCCGACATTGGAGACTTGAAGCTAGCCATACTTCTTCCATTCTCGCCGTCCTCTTTGATACGATATTGTTTTCAATTTACAACTAACAATGACGCCTCCGCTCATTACCCTTGAAGAACACTTCTTCTCGTCCACAGTCCCCGCCAGCCTCAGAGATAGTTACTCCGAGCAGCTTAAACACGTCGATGGCGTCTTCGACAAGCTCCGCAACCTCAATGAGCTGCGTCTCCGCGACATGGATGTTGGCAGAGTCTCCCTGCAGGTAGTCAGTCATGCTCCCGGTCTAACCGACCCGGCTGACTGCCGCGCCGCAAACGACCAGCTCTTTGCCGCCATCAAGGCCCACGAGGCGCGCGTTGGTGATGGCAAGAGCCGCCTCGCTGGGTTTGCTGTCGCACCCATGGGCGACCCCGTCGAAGCAGCTGATGTACTGCGAGTAGCCATCACCGACCTGGGCTTTGTTGGTGCCTTGGTGGACAACCACTACAACGGCAAGTTCTTTGACGGACCTGAGTACGATCCCTGGTGGAGCGCTGCCGAGGAGCTTGATGTGCCCGTGTACTTGCACCCGAATTGGCCCGGCGAGGACATGGCATTGCGGTACCAAGGGGATTTCAGCGACGCGGCGGCGCGGAGCATGGGCTCCAGCGGCCTGGGCTGGCACACCGAGACGGCGCTGCACGTCCTGCGCCTATTTGCCTCCGGGTTGTTTGACCGGCGGCCGAAGCTCAAGATTATCCTCGGGCACATGGGCGAGACGATTCCGTTCATGCTGGAGAGGATCCAAGTTCTCAGCCGCCGATGGGGCACCTACCTTCGTGATTTCAAGACGGTCTACAACGAAAATATATGGATCACGACGAGTGGCGTGTGGAGCATCGATCCGATGAGATGTATACTGGCTAATACTAGTATTGAACACATCCTGTACAGCGTGGACTACCCCTTCCAGAAGAACGAGGTCGGGCTGGAATGGATTACTGCGTTGGAGAAGAGCGGCTTGGTTGATGAGGACCAGCTCGAAGCTATTGCTTATGGCAATGCTGAAAAGCTTCTGGGAGTAAAGCTGCCGACGTAAACAACATCGACTGAGCTCTTCAGGATTAGAAGTTCCCGAGTTAATATTGTTGGGAGTAGGAAATGAAGCATGTCGTTCATGATGTTGCCTCGGCCTGGCATCCAGAGCGTTATGTCCGATTGGATGTGACTGGCTGCGGGCGCCGGTGGCTTGACGCTCAGCCCCACCATGAATCCCTTCAACTTCATGTCTTTTCATCCACTTTGAACTTCGGCTGGGGCCAACTTTCCACATACTGCACACGATCAAAACGCCAAATTTGAGTACCAAATCGTTGCACAGCATCCGTCATCATGAAGCTACCCAACCCACAGATTCGAAGACGGGATCTGTTTAGGCGCGAGCCCGGCATCAACCATCCTGTCGTTCTACCCAACAATGGAGACTCAGCGGATTGGTGTCTCTCCAAACTGGCTGGTATTGCCGCCCCAGGATATGCCAGACCTAGGCACTCGGTAGGCACACTGTTCCGGCTACGGCAATGGCTCTATCGGTGCGAGAAGGAGCACAACACTCCTGGTCGACGATTTCAGTGCAAGACTTTCACGAGTGGCGGCCAGCCCGAGTGGGTGATTGACGTCGCTAAATGCTGCGTCGTACGATACCTGCCAGCAATGAAGTGCATGGCACTGAGCTACGTCTGGGGGCCTGTCTACACCGCAAAATCGACCCGTGGAAACATCGAGTCGCTGCAGAAGGAAGGCTCTCTCTTCGGTCCTGTCTCGGTCGTCCTGCTGCCCAAGACCGTGGAAGACGCTGTGTTCCTCACCGGTCTCTTGGGCGTGCGCTATCTATGGTGTGACCGTCTCTGCATTGTGCAGGACGACGATGCTTGCGTCCGGGACCAGATCGACAAGAAGGGTCACATTTTCGCGCGCGCTTCCTGTTCAATCGCAGCGAAAGGCTCGCCGTACGTCGACGTGGGTCTCACCTGGACACGGTCAAGGCGATTGACACGTTCCGACGCAGACACACCCTCGCAATCGTGCATGTACCGTAGGCGAGGCTGGACTTATCACGAAGAGTTGTTCTCAACTCGAATCATCGTGATTGGGAAGTTGTCGAGGGGCGGAAGAGTGAAGATTCGCTGGTCTTACTTTCCTTTGCATCATCCGATTCGCGCCGACGCTTGGGAAGCGGCGATTGCTATGGTCTGTCTGGATGGGTGTCGGGAAAAACCGACTTCCGGGAGAGAAGACCGTATGCATACTCTCAATGCAGACATAAAGCGAAGGCTGGTGGAGAAATATTATCATTATTATTCATACACCGCTATGCGCTTAGGCGAGTCGGACCCTCAAACTATTTACTGTACAGGAAAACCGTACCATCACGGGTCGGGTGAAAAACCGGCACCGACAATCAAGGAACACATCAGTGACTGAGCCTGTGAATACAAAAGAAGAAGGCCTCCTGGCCTTCGATGGAGGGGGGCTTAAACCGCCGACTCCAACTCTAGCTTCCTTGCCAGATTGTACATTGGTAATCTTCCCACGTCCATCACCCAGCTCATGATCCTTCTCGTTAGCCGTGCAGCTGGAGGATTAATGCCCTAGAGGACAGAGTGAAAGTCCCGTCGAGTCCGAATCTCTGCTCTCTCCCATCTTCGGCTCAACGGTGGGGCCGAACACCACATGACCAGGTGCTCGACGGTCTCGCGCCATTCTCCGCACTCACAAAATGGCGTTATAACGTTTGGAACTCCCCGCTTAAACAGGAAGTCCCAGAGCCCTATATCGCCGGTTCGAATTTGGACCAGTAGTGAACTTTTTGCCTTGTTGAGGCCTGAGTGTCTTTTGAGTGTCTTGTCTCTAAAGATGGTCTTATTCTGGTGGTCTAGATCGTCCGCCGGCCTCGTCGTTGCCCGGCCGTTGCCCTTATTTACGAAGGCACACCTTGTCGCTCACTGCTTACTCATAATATTGTACAACTACCTACTTAGAAAGAGGGCTTTCCAATCCCCTAGTTCATGCTGGCAGTGACACAGCGTTCGTAAAGAAGAACTTCGCCGCCCACCAAATACGTTGTACTTACATGTCTTAGGGACTTGGTTCCTTGGACTAGATCATTACATGAGAATTTCAAAACGATTGTCTTGCTCCTCTGCTTCACCTCTTTAGTGCTCTTTGTCTCTTCCATCTCGCGATATAGAATTGCTCCCGTCCTGGCCATCCAGTACCCGGATCACATAAGCATTCAAGCAGTGGGTGGAAGGGCTCTGATCTCGGGACTTCTGTATGCCGCTGACGATTTGGGTTACAAAAAGGGACTCCACAATGTCTACCGCTTGGCTGGTCATCTAAGTCTATGGCTGTGTTTGATTTCTCCATTTCTTCAACCCAGAACATATTGCTCAAACACGAACTACAGGATCGAACCGCATTCTGACAACTTGGTAAGCATGATAATTATAACCAATTCACCAACCTTTCATTATGAGCTCTTGACTGCTCGTCAAAGTGAGGTGGTCACTAGCACCAATGTGACCCCCTTGTTTCCAGTCATACTCCCAAGTCGTCCGAGTCAGTCATATACACATCCATACATCCACACACCCAATCCCCATCCTTCTTCAACAGCGATACTCCGCCCATTCTCCACAACAGAAGCGGAAATTCAATAACTTCTAACAGAAATAGGCAAGATGGCCGAGCGGTCTAAGGCGCTGTGTTCAGGAAAATTCCAGGCTGTGTTCAGGAATCAACTTGAATTTCGCAGTCCGAAAGGGCGTGGGTTCGAATCCCACTCTTGTCATACCCTTTTGTTCTTCATATACATACACTCAATCATGGAAAGGGAAACAGTTTCTTTGTTTCTTTTAGAGAAAACAACAAAAGAATCGCCAGAATGGTGCTCAATTCGTCTCAAGTTAAGAAAAGTGGTGGCATCTGCTGCCGACTACGGACCCCTTTGTTCACAAGCCAGAACTCAACGAACCACCCCCTACACGACACACTGCATCATAAAGACTGCCGGCTTGTGGCAATACAAGCGGCTGGGGTGTGGTGAGGTAAATATCTACCTTATATTGAATCACAGCGCCCCAGAGTCTGCCATAGATGTTCTATCTACATACCGTGGGCCGCTTCTCGTCTGACGAGTATTTGTGAGGCTTACCTAAGTAGGTACACTGACTGGCAAGACCCAGCCAAAGCAAAGGATGACTTCCTTTTTCTGATACAAAGTCTGTTGGTATTCTTCTGGCTACTTCTGCTTCCTCCCTCCCCGCAACTATCATGCCTAATCTCTCGTGTGGACAACCAACAACATAATTCCACCCAAACGCCGAGCTTTCATAATGCAGATTCCATCACTGCTTTGCTTCGATAGTATAGATCTATAGGCTTTCTTCTTCCTGCTTTCCTGCTGCCTGCTAACTGTTCATATCCGCGCCCCGCCGCCCCCTCCTCTGCGATGATGATGACTGATTGACTGCCATCTTTTCTTCATCTCCGAAAGTCCCTCGGCTACTCTTCATAGCCGGACACCCCAGACACCACGTCCGGCGCTCACACCAAGCCACTCGCCGTAGTCATTGCTGGATAGATGCGGAACCCAGCCGATATTTCCAACCTCGTAATCGCACTGCCAGCTGGCCACAGGGCTTCTCGTATTATCAGTTTGCGTCGGGTCCCCGTTGATGCTCGACGTGGACTGATTAAGAAGATCCCAGATGAGCACCTGGCAGTCGTCGCCGCCAGAGGCAAGAGTGCCCCTCCGCAGCGGAGACCAGTCGACACAGTTGAGAGCCCCGCTATGGCCTCGTAACTCTAGCAATGCCTGGCCCGGATGGCGAACATCGAGGATTCTGATCACGCTCGAGTCCATTGCAAACGTCGCGAGTAAATGGTGGTCGTGAGGGGACGTTGCCAGCCGTAGCAAGGGCGGCGCATGAGACATGGTCTGCTGCGCCAGCGTGGGGCTAATTCGCCCGCCGTTGGCATCTGTATTGGGTAGATGGCTGGTTAGCTCGGAGGTTATCTGTGAGCTTGAAATATGCATAATTTATCTCACCTCTTTCTTCCTTGCCCGTTGGCTCGTAAATGATGGTACTATGCTCCAGACTGCGCAGATCAAACATGCGTACGCTGCCGTCCTGTCCGCAGCTCACAAACACGTCAACGCTTTGGGCGCAGAATCTTACATCGTAGACTTCCTTGTCGTGAGCAATCAGCTGCGTCTTCGCGGTCAGAGACGGGATATCCCAGATCGTGCATGTCGTATCTATACTGGATGTGATAATAAGACTTGGCGTAACCGTATTCCAGTCCAAAGATGTCAACGGGGCCGTATGGTCAGGGGTTTTCGAGTTGGACAGCAGAGCCAGCGGGGTAAGCTTCGTGATGGGTTGTTCACGCCCGTTCCTTGACGTGATCGAGTTGCTGGTATTCGGTGTCTGGGGATCGGATGGCAGAGACCAGAGGCGAAGATGATCCCCGGACGTTGCGAGAAGATCGGTCGACTGCTTTTGTGTCGATGGGGGTTCCCACAGGAGTCGGGTCACAGGATACGAGTGTGTGGCTTCGGCAACTCGAGTGAAATCCATGGTATACTTGGGACCGCCGGGAACAAACGCATCAGAAGGTGTTGGAGTCAGCTGCGTATCCAAAATTTGTATCTGGTGAAATGCGCCGTGTTAGTACGTTCTCAGGACTGAAAACTGGGGACTGGGTACCGACAAAATTATGACCATCCTCCAAATAGCTTCCTATGGCCAATTTTCCAGCACCGTTGGCCTGGGGAGGCCACTTGCACCAATCAAATGCGTAGAGAGCCCATGGGGCCATGTAGTTGCTGGTACGAGACTCGGCGTTCGCCGTTTCGTACGCAGGAGTCCCGGGCAACCCGTCCGAAAGATTCGAGTCAGCTCGAGGCCGAATGTCGGCGAGGCCCAGCGGGGTGTTGGATATGTTGCGCTGGCCGCTCGAAGGGTTGTACTTGGAATCGGTGGGCGACATGAACTGCGAGGAGCCGACGCCACTGCCACTTCCACCTCCCGGTGTCGTTGGCGTGTAAGGAAGATAGCCGGATCCACCCCCATCGTAAGGCGCGGCAGGACTGGAGCGTGAGTAGTTGTGGGAGAGACTGAGAGTGTTGGGCTTCGTCGGGGTTTGGTACTCTGACTGCTGCTGCATAGTTGGCAGGGATGGTGCCGTGTTGGCCGAAACTGCGGACGGTCGCGCTCCCAATCCTCCGGGTTGCAGCACGTTAGGCACTGCGCCGGAGCTTTGGTAGGACTGCAGCTGGGGCGCGCTCGGCGGTGCTTGATCGAGCTTGATATGGGGAGCACCGGTGCTCTGGTAACCGCTCTGCAACTGAGAGAGGTTTGGCGACGCCTGGTCGAGCTTGATGTGGGGGGCGGCGGAGGACGAGGACGAGGACGACATGGAATAATCGCGGGGCGACATCTGGGCAGGGTGGCTCATGCCCGACGACATGTGAAGTTCGTCATTGTGCTGGGAGGGGTAGGTCCCCTGTCGCCGCGGAGGCTGGTATTGCTGCTGGCCTTGATTCATGGTGTCGATCGAACGCGTGAGGAGACGGTGTCGTTGTGCGCCGAGGTAGCAGGGAGAAGAGAGGGAAGCGATTTACTCGGGTGAGGTCTGAATGGATGAAAGGCAGTGGCAGGAAGGGAAACAGCGCACCGTGGCCCGCGGTTCGTTCTTCGCAACTCGCAGTGCTAATTAGGAGAAACCGGGGCTCTCGGAGGTGATGAAGCCGTCGGGCACTCGAGCCCAGACGCGTGGGCGGGAAGTGAGCTCGAGAAGGTCAGTCAGGACGTGAGGATTCTTGCGAGACGGGATAGCAGCGATGGAGGTTCGAGTTCGGCAGCAATAGAGTACCGTATCGCAGTCGCAGCGGCTAACCAACTGGCTGCCCTTGGTGCTGTTGTGCTGCTTGGGATTGGGTTTCGGTTGCGAGAGGACAGGAGGGCCCGCGCGGCTGCGGATGGACGCGCGACGGGATTGGCCACTGCGAAGCCCAGAGCCCAATGGACCACTCACAGTGCCCCCCTCGTGGGGGGTTCTGCCGTGACCTGAGCACCTGGTCGGACATTGCCCAGCGATGGTTACAACTGAATTTTGACTCTGAAGCGTTTCGGATGATTTTCTAAATATCGCTGAAGTAATTTGAAAAGGTACAAAAGCTGCAAGAACGAAGACATGGACGGAAATGTTTTGCTCCGATTCGCGTGAGAGACGGCGCCTGTACATCTTTGGCTAGTTGGGCGCAGAATGGTGTGCCGATGAAAAAAACCTTGTTTACCTGCCATCTTTCTACGGTAGACAGAGTAGCGCCTAACAATTTCACAGCATCGTCGTGCCCCGCGCTGGTGTCATTACCGGTAGGTACTGGTGTCGGTTGTCATCTTCATTCCCCTCACTCCCGGTCAATAACTAACTTACTTACCCAAGTGAAGCTCAGCGAGATTGCTCAAGATATACGGAATACCAAATCAATCCTCCATCTTCCGTCAAACGAATGCCCCAAAAGTCACCATGCAGCGGGACAAATTACCTTCTCTACTTTTGCTCCCCTGCCCGCCCCAGCCCCAGCCGTCGAGTCGACATGTGCTGGATGCGGCATACTGCCCGTCGCTCACCGCGGCCCTCTCAAAGCTGAAGAGTACTGGCGCCGAGTCGAAATTAATTGTCGCAGTGCCATACCCGATTCTTCATGGCCAGTTTGTTCGCTCCAAGACGCTCTCATGGTCTGAGGCCCAGTCTCTTGTCGCCGGCATCTACACCATCATTGCCATGGTGTGCTCTCAGCTGTCCATCGCAACCGAGATTAACGCCGGCTCCGGCTCGGTCGATGCAACCGTCGTCCTGGTTGACCACAACCGCAGCAAGGTCTTTGCATCCGAGTCCGGCCCTACCATCGAGACGAACAGTACCATAGTCGTCGATCTGGCTACTTTTGCATCAGCATACCACCCATGGAACTACATTTTCCATGTCAGTAGTGAGCAGGGGCTTCAGCTGTACCAGACCTACCTCAAGTTGGCTGAGGTCAAGCAGACGCTTCTCCATGAGCAGCTTGTGCCTGTCGAGGGCGGCTTGACAATGAACAGCCCCAAAGAAGATGACTCGGGGTCGCCGCCGCAGTCATCTGGTTATCCCGTCGTTTGCCTTGGCGGCACGTTTGACTACCTCCACCCCGGCCACAAACTTCTTCTCACAGCCGCCGCGCTGTTGCTACGTGTTCCTCATAAAGACTCTTCTCAGTCATGTCTATTCATCATCGGAATTACCGGCGACGAGTTGTTGAAAAGCAAGAAGTATGCTGAATACGTTCAGACATGGGATGAGCGTGCTCGCAATGTCATCGCCTTTCTGTCGCGAATTCTACAGCTCTCAGAACAGGGTTGGAAGGGCAGTCCTGCACTGCAGATTGAAGAAAAGGATGGCGACTTCCAAGCTGCATTCCGGAACGATACCATTCGTGTTCAGTGTGTCAGGATACAGGATGCTTTTGGCCCCACCGTCACCCGGGAGGACATTGATGCTCTTGTTGTTTCTGCCGAGACAAGGTCAGGAGGGCGCGCCGTGAACGACCGTCGCACAGAGCAGGGCTGGAAGCCTCTCGATGTGTTCGAGGTGGATGTTCTCGATGCCGAGGAAATCTCGGATGAGCCAACGAAGACCGAAAACTATGCCACGAAGATCAGTAGTACCGCAATCCGGAAGCTAAAGGCTGAGGCAAAGGTCGAGGTCCAGAAATGAAGCAGAATCTGCCATTTACTTACGTAC